AGTGTGTACGTCTAGGCTATCAAGCATAGCACATAAAACATAATGGCCCGCCTGCAGGAAACTAAATATAGATGGTGTTTTGATTACGTGAAAATTGACATTTCAAAGGAGATTAGGATCAGACCACTAAAACAACACAGCGAAGAGCCGGGAGGCAGAAGCTGGAAGAGAAAGCCACCTTTACATGCTTAGCGTAGCACGTAACTACACGGCCACATGCTCACTTTTTCCAGCTCGGGCTACCATGAGTGTGTTTGGGTGCGGGAACATCACTCCGGTGACTAGTTTGGCTACTCTTAGCCTTCCTTTCACGCGAATGCTAAGTGGTTGACCCCATGACCCCCGTCTCCTTGGAGCACACGGAAGTCCTTTCTTCGCTACGGCAGGTGGGATGGATGACATCACCATCGGAGAGGGTCCCATTAATGACGAGCATGGGGATTGGCTGTTTTTTCCGACATTATTCTGACATTACTCCCACATTATTGTTGTATTAGTAGTGTCATTATTAGGCCAGGTGTGTTTTCACAGTGAGCAAACCCTTCGTCGCTCTGAATAGACACTATGTAGGCCAAGACTGAGATGGGACAGGGCGCCGCGTAGCCGAAACGAGAGTCTTCTCACACGCACATGTACCATGAACGTACAAAAGTCAAACTGAGTTCACAAATGCAACTTCTACGATATGGCGACACATAATGTGCATTTATGCATAGACACCAGTATTCATTTTTACAAATTTATTTTTACTTTAGTCATTGTTTTTATGTCTTGATGAAAATATCCTTTGTTATATTCATTCATTTTAATCTTACTAAAATAACAATTTCAGTTGGCGAAAATTACATTTTACTTGACGATAAAGTGCAAAATTAAAATGAATATTAAACATTTTATATATTACTGTACTTTAAACATATTAACATTTAACAAAATCCTGACTTCATTGATTATGATTAAATAAACCATATATTTTCTAGATCTTTCTAGATCTTGCGGTATTATTTTTTCTTGTCATATTTTGGCCAACAGTATGTTTTTATTAACATTTTTCATTATGGTTCATCTTGTCTTTATTATTGGTGACACATAATGTACATTTATACATCTACTCCAGTATTAATTTTTATTTTTTATTGTTTTAGTCATAGTTTTTTATGTTGATGAAAATATCCTTTGTATTTAGTAAATGTTTTGTCATTTCATAATCAAAATTACTACTTTTTTTTTTTACATTTTATAGATTTTATTATACAAAATCCTGACTTGACTATGATTAAATAAAACATATTTTCTACATTTTTCTATATCCTGAGGTTTTTTTTTTGTGTCATATTTTACAGTATGGTTTCATTAAAATTTTTCATTACAGGTCATTGCGTCTCCATTATTTGTGATACAAAATGTACAAGTACGCCAGTATTCATTTTAATAACATTTTTTGTTTAATATATATTTTAAAATCCTTTATATTTAGTTTGTGTTTTATCATATATTCATTAATTTTAGTACATTTTAGTTAGTAAGAAAAATTTTACCAAATATTCAAACATTATCTATATAAATCTAAACATATCAACGTAACAAAATCCTAACTTTATTGACTATGTTTGGATTATAGATTTGATTATATGACAATAATTTTTGGATCATTGTTCAGATCTTGCGAAGTATGCTTGTGTACGTTGGTGCACCCAAGAATTATCTTATTTAGGGTACTTTCAAAACTCCCAAATTCACTCTCATGCGATGCCTGGATCACTGTGAAAGCTATCATGTTCAAGAGAGCATGGGGATCCTGAAAGCTCGGGCCAGACATGACGGTCTTCCTCTTTTAAAAGAGCATCGTCATGGAGACGCTTCCGACACCACACAACGTTAAATGGCAGAGCCACAAGAGATATTCAGCTGCACGCACACACACACAATAGCAAATGCGTGCAATTAAAGAGGTGTTCTTCATTTCACATCCACCTGGATGTAAGAGTCTCAGCGAGAAGCTTGCCAACCGATAGACTTGACGATAAGCGATCAAAAACAGAGATTCAATCTCACGCACACACACACATCTTCATGTCTGATTATAGTTAAATGGGGTTGTGTTGAGTCTGGTCGCTATACACACAGATCTGGCCTCACCCTAAGGATTTTGGGTAACGGAACACTGCAGATCCACATCTCAATAAGTGTAGAAACAGGTTTCCTCTCTCTTGTTCTCTCGTTTCATCCTATTTCTTTCTTTCAATCTCTCACTCTCACTTTTTTCATACCATAATGGATTTTGCTCTTCATCTTGTTCATTTTCTGTATCATGCCCATAAGACTAAGGTTTTAACTAAAGAAAACAAGATCATTCACCCATAAAACAAAAAAAATTTTTACTCACCATCATGCCATTCCAAACCACGACTTTTTATGTACTTCTGTAAAACACAAAAGAAAACATTTTAAACCGTTTTTAAATTCAATTGGAGACAGGAGCTTTCAAAAGCAATAAAAAGCACCATAAAATGATTTTAAAATGTGTGTGCTAGTCCTCTAAAGCCGTAGCTTTGTGTTGCAAACAGACCAAATTTAAGTTGGTGATAATCTTCACTTCTAATGGGCTGAAACCAAATAACTGAGTCAGTGAGTTTGAAAACTGATTCAGTCTGATTTGTGAATGAATTGGTGAATCATTCAGGTTTTCGCAAACTGGATCAAGTGATTCATTGAAAAGATCTTATTCAAAAGAATAATTATTAAACAAATTAGACATATTACTTTAACTGGTTCTTCTAGACAGCAATGAAATTAGATGTACATCAAATGGACACATTTGCTTTAAAGTTGGTATGGAATGAACAATCTACTTTCTAAATGCTTGTTATTGATTTAATTGTGAATGATTCACCCATGCATGTTTGTTTTTTTGTTTTTTTTCAATTTGACCTTGTAATTTGTAGTCAAAAATACCATAACTTGATCTTTCAATGACACAACAAACTTCTCTCTTCTGACATATGCCAGACTTCTCCAGTCATTTAGTCCACTTTAACCTCTGCACTTTCTTACAATTGACCTTAAGATCGCATTCAGATCTGCCTCAGTCCAACCATTATACTTTTTTATTTATTTTCAATAATCCATTTCTGATGGTTGACATAATATGGTGCAAAAGATCTGTTGCTGCTTCCTTTACATTGCACTGTTAAGTCTTCTGCTTCTCAGGTTATTATCCTGAGAAAATACCTTTTAATCTCACACATTTCCTTCAGACTTTCAAAAGATATCCGAGTTTTAAGTCTCAAACTATGCTCAGAGTGTCGAAGATTTCAAAGTATACAATCAAAATTTTTCGTCAAATTATACCAAGACCAAATAATCTGAGCTATGCAAACCATCTTAGTTCTGCACTCTTACTGTATGTTGTCAGTTGTTGTCAAAAGACAACTGTTGTCTATTTTTCTATTGTTTAATTAACATTTTGTCTATTTTTATTTCTCCTAGGGAATTGTTGGAACCCCATTGAGTCTTTAAGCGATGAAAGAGCAATACATTTTTTCTCTGGTACAGACAAAGACGCTGATTATATCTGTACATGCACACATGCACGTCTCCTGGCTTCCCCTCTTTGGTGTCCTCTGATTTTCCAAAACATCTTAGCGAGGGAGAGAGTGAGAAAGAGAGAGAGAGCGAGAGAGAGAGAGAGAGAGAGAACATCTTAGTGAGGGAGCGAGTGAGAAAGAGAGAGAGGGATCATCATAGGGTCTCTGTGGAAATTTTGGTGTGGTAGACAGGCCTGCCCGGTCTGCTCTTTATTTAACAGTGGGAGTAAAGAGAGATGAGCTCTGTGTGTGCAGATAAATATAGTGTGAGAACAGGCAGTCTGCTGGGGAACTCTTCACAACCTAACACTACCTAACTTTCTCAGTCCAAGAGAAAAGTTGAGTGAATTACAAGATGCAGGTCATCAAGGACCATCAATACACACACTCATGTGGCCAGATACAGTGTAGTTTATACACAATAGATAGGATTGTATGCCAAAGAGAGATAAACCACCTACACACACTGTCCTCCAACACACACACTCTCAAACCTGTGGAAACACAGCAGGTTCTCAGTTAGAAGCTGACCTTCTAGGCACTTTTGGCTGAGTGTAAACCAAGAAAGAAGGACAGAAAGAGACAGAAGTGACACGCACATTCAAACGTGTCCAGCTGCTCCCTCGGGTTGCTATTAGTTTGTAATCATAATGAAGATGAGAGAGTTGGGGAGAGCGGCTTCAGGGCGAGCCACAGTGGAAAACCTGCAGAAATGATGTCAGAGCAATCGCAACCACCGATTGGAGTGGAGATTCCCGGCGAGAGCCTATAAAACCGGGAAAGACAACAGCAGGAACCAGCAAAGGCAGAGAACGTGAGAAATTCCAGGAACTGCACAGTGTCCATCTGTCCATCCCCGTGTGACTGAAACCGAATCAGATTAAGGGTAAGGAGCCTTGGAGAAAGACCAACCTGCATGTTCCTACAGGGCTGTGTAAGTGTGAGTGTGAGTGTGTGTGTTTGGGTGGAAAGGTGAGCAGACAGGTGTTGAAGATGTATTTGAAGACGTTTGTTAGGAGTCGCAGTAGAATAATGCTGGTTCGTTGGTACAGAATCTGCTGTTTGATAAGCAACTGTGAATTTGTTTGAGCTCCAGGGTTACGGATGAACCAGTATCGGAAACATCCTGTTGATGTTGCATTACTGCAATAGTGACACAGAGGTGTGAAATCATGTCTGGTATCAGAGAACTATTGAGAGTATCTTTGAGAGAGCGAGTGTATGTGTGTGTGTGTGTTTGCAGGGTGTCCAGTGAAGTGTGTGTGGGCAATGGGAGATGGCTGGAGTTGTTTATTTTTGGGGACGGAAAATGCTAAAGTTAGCCCATGTTGCTGGACAATGCATTTTCCCAGTCGTGGGGCAGGAGAGGGGCCGCATCTGGTCCGGTGCTCAGCGCACCAGACCTCAAATGCCAAGAACGGGACACTGGGTCAAATGATAGGTGGAAATGCATTATTGGGCATTTTTGTAAGATACTCTACAATCCTGCAGAAGAGTTTTGAAAAATTTCTAGGAGAAATACTGTGGCAGGTGTTCATATTTGGTGAGAAAATTAGTTATACATGTTTAAAAATTAAAATTAACAATTGATAAAAGGTCAAAACTAATAATGGGTTATGAAAACCATGAATTACAGGATTCAAGGTCAGAATTTCACAAATACTACATTTAGCTTTGTTTTGATATTTGTCTATCTTAGATATGTTTATCTATATATCTATCTATCTATGCTGAAAAAAGAATTTGAGTAGAAACAATTTTCACTTAAACATTTCTAGCAAACGTCACAATTAATTACAAACACATGGCAAGTAAGACATTAAATTAAACATTAAATTTTGAAGTAGAAAGAAATCGTATTTTCTTGTTGGCTAAAACATATTCTATCTGTTTTATTTCTAACTTAGAAAAATATTTCTTACAATGTATCTATCTATCTACATTTACATTTAAGCATTTAGCAGACACTTTTAAGCACTATCTATCTATCTATCTATCTGTAACCTATTATTAGGTTACCTATTACTATGTGGTAGAGGTTCTTACCAGTCACTGGACTTTGCATTTATTTCATTTATATATAAGTAATTTAAAAATAAATAATGTTTAAAGGAAAGTGTCACAAATATCATGTCATTTCTATAGTTGCAATTTAACACATCTGCCAGCAGACGGCAGTTAAAATGTAAGATTCAGTGCAGCATCATAATCTGAATACCATGGTTTTAGAAATCAAAAAAGTGAAAAAGCTAAGACAATTGTATTCTCATATTATATTTACTGTAAATAAATTTATATAAAACATTTACTCAAGTGATGCGAAACTACAGTAACGCGCAGTCCCGCCGTGAGGATGTTTTTGTGTGAGTGTGGTTAAGAGTGAGTGTGTTTTGGGGACACACAGCTAGGGGTGCAGGTCAGAGTGTGTGTTTGGGCTGAGTTCATGTGTTTGTGTAGAGGGTGTGTGTTAGAAGCATTCTCACACTCTCGCGGCTGCCGGACCGCCCAGTCAGAGTGTATTTTCACAGATGGAGTCTGGATGAATGTAAACACCGCCCTGTATCACAGTAATTCAACACGGTGCTGAAGCTGAAGTGTGTGTGCGCAAGCTCAATTGACAATGCACTGACACAGAGACATAAAAACTGTAATCATTGTAATTATGTTGCTGTGTGTGTGTGTGTGTGTGTGTGTGTGTGTGTGTCTATATGTATATATATATATATGCTACTACTAGTACTACTGCTGCTGCTGCTGCTACTACTACCTTTTTTAATAAATTAATTTTAATCAACAAGGATGCATTAACACTCAATCATAGTTTCCACAAAATAAATAAATAATTAAGCAGCACAACCATTTTTACACTGATTGTAAGAAATGTTTCTTACGCAGCAAATCAGCATATTAGTATTATTTTTTTGAAGGATCTGGAGAAATGGCTGCTAAAAAAATTCAGCTTTACCATCACAGGAAAAAATTGCATTTTAAAATATGTTAAAATAGAAAACAGCTGTTTTAAATTGTCATAATATTTCACAATATTACCGTTTACTGTGTTTTTGATCAAATAAATGCAGCCTTGCTGAGCATAAGAGATTCCAAGACCCCAAATGTTTTAATGGTTTTATATAATATTCGATTGTCAATAATCACATTGTTAATTGTATTGTAATTGTATTGTAGATAATGGGCTGTGGATGTGTGCTGCTCTCCGGTCTGCTGACACTGACCTTGTTCCACTGCAGTGCAGAAAGCCTTCATGTACCCCAAGAAAGATCAGAGGTGAGTCCAGGTCTCGCTGATATATAAATATACATACTGTATGAGAGAGAGAGAGAGAGAGAGAGAGAGAGAGAGAGAGAGAGAATAAGGTTGTATTATTTGTTTTGTGAGGGAAATTCACTCTGCCTGTCTTCAGAAACACAAAAACAGACTTCATGTAGGTGATGAGACTAACTGGTACAAGTGAGAGATGATAAACTGTCATCAGTCTGACTGCTCAGTAAATACAGTGGGGATTCCCCTAGAGAGCCTCCACAGGAGGATGCAAACATCACCCTCTCCTTATGAACATGAGCTACCTGTCTGAGAACTGACCCACTGGGTCACCCAGTCTTCCTGTTTCTCCATGTGAAATAAAACTTTATTACTGTGTCTTAAATGGTCTTGAGTTGGTCTCTCAAAGGTGCTCAAGCTGCTGTTTTTTGCTATTCCAAGGTGGTCGACCAGCTATAACTTGCTTGACAAAGGTTGAAACCATATCCACCAGCTGGATCCAGTGAACTTGGACCAGCTAGAACCCATGTAAAACCAGGCTACCACCTTAAAATGGTGTTAGATTAATTGTCCATCAGAGAGATGGAAGAATATTTAGGAAGACTGTGATTTTTCTGACAAAATTTGTGATTAAGACATAATTTGCATTACACCATGCATTTCCATTTCTAATCTAGTATGTGGAACCATCTGTTGTGGAGGGCCGCAGTGTCCAGCGAGGGCAAACCGAGCAGAAGAACGCTAAACTCCTCCTGCACGATCAGTTGGTCCGACTGGAGAACGATGTCATTGAGACCAAGAGGAAACGGAGCTTCCCCGGATCCAACACGCCTCTTGATCGCCTGTCAATCAGCACCATGGATCCCAAAAGCAACAAGCAGAGGTGAGAAAGAAGAGTAAAAGGAAACGCTCTTCTTTTTGTTTGGAAACAGACGTAAAAATTATTCCCTCCTTAGCCTGCAAAATAATGTAAATAACTAATAAAATATTATTTTTGTTATTAAAATATTTCATTAATAATAATTAAATAATATTTTACAAATTGTAATACATTTTTAAATTGATACCTTGGATACCTTATTGGTGTTCTTTAACAATAATTGTTCATATATGTCATTCATATTGTCTCAATTGAATCATAGCACTGTACATTTTATTGACGGCTCTGGCCCAAAGTCTGAAAAACATACAAAACACAGTTTTTATTTGCTATGATCCCGAACAGATGATGAACCATAGGTAGCTTTGACTGGCTGTGGCTCGAACATGTACAGTTTTTATTGGCTGAAGTCTGTCGTGCACAGCTTGATAGCTTTGCATGAGCCTGTTTGTGCTTTTACAGTTCACTAAGTGCAATTACTGTTTTGTCTGTAGCCCACAGTTAAAGTTACTTATATTTCTTGGGTGGAGTCACTGTGGTGTGGATTGAGGTTTTGTATGACATAATAAGTGTCTGATGCTGATTTATGGGAACGGAGAGTCCAACTGTGCTGATGACTGTAGCACCGGACTTCCAGTCAATGATCAAAACTGTTTTATCTCTTTGAATGATTTGATCTCCCTGCTGGACAGAACATGCAGTGTAACTCAGCATGGCCTGAGGCTCTGACAAGGCTCTATCTAAATGATCCTCAGCACTTGATAAGATCAGGACAGAAGCCAAAAACAGCAGCGAAACCACCACGCCATGCATTATCAAATCTCAACACCCGAATCCATCTGTCATGAGCCTGATAAACACATGAAAGCTCACGAAAACCACTTCGTAGCTATTTGACTGTTCCATGGATCCTCAGCAAAGATATTCAACTTGAAAGTCAATGTTGGATTTTGTTACTACTTCTACATTTTCTCAAGAAATCTTCCAGATCTTTTTTCCAAATCTTCAGGTTTTCCAGACAAAAATCGAGGTATGACCATAGAACAAATGTGGGTTTAAGAGAAACCTTTGACCCTAGGTAGCAATACTAATAGACTATTACTAGTAGTACTGGAAAACTAGCATATTAAAAATACTTCAGTATACCCTCACCTTATCAAAAAAAACCTGTAGGATAAGGGGGGGAAATGTATAGTAGAAATTACAAGTAAATGTTTCGTTAAATTTATGGACATTTCCTTAAACCCTAAACAATACACAATGCAATGTGTAATTCAAAATACAGGTAAACCACCTGTAAAAAATCAGTATAGAAAATTCACATAAACAGTAGATTGGGACAAATTTTTATGAACTTTTCTTAGAGTGCTTTTTTTTCTTTTTTTACTTTAATACTAAGTGTAACAATATGTTACAGTGGCGTCATGGACCTTATCATGTATGTGACTGATCAAGTCATCTATTCAATACTGTTGTGTAAAAAAATTTTATTTTCACTATGATGAAATGATTAAAAAAAGATGTTAAATATCATGCCAAGAATTCCGGTTGATTCATCACTTTGGAAATGAGAGGTCAAGTTGAGTGCATTGCAAGTTGTCCATGCTTTGTATATAGTAGGCATATTTGATTACACTTAATTAGCTGCTATTGATAAATAACTAGAAGAATAAGGAAGTGCCGTAAACGGTAAAAATATTTGTGCTACAAACCAGTGTGTTTATAATTATGACAATACATTAATATAATGTGAGAAATACCAGTTTCTCAGAAATATCAAGTAGCATAACCAGGTGAATTGTACAGATAAAAATAACTGGAAGCGATGATACCGGAAGCCTCGCACATTCAACTTAGAAAAATGGCCGTGCCCGCTCTTACAGTACTTAAAAAGTAAGGTGGATACCACAGAGTCGTATGTTAGTATGCTATTTTTTGAAAACATCTATTCATGATACTTCTTATTTTTTGACGTATTAAGGCGGTTGGCAAATCAGCTTTAGGTGCATATACCGCCGCCACCTGCTGGGATGGAGTGTGGAGCATCGCCGTTAAGGGAAGACTAAAAAGACAAAAAACAAAAAGGGTCTCCAATTTAAATCTTTGAGATATTTCAACAGTATATTATACACTTTTACAGCTGCATTTTTGTTTAACGACTTCTGAAGTGAAAACTGATTAATCCCTATATCTCTAAGTGCTTCTGTAAATTGTAATCTTTCATTATCATATCCTTTGCACTTTATTGAAACATGTTCAGCTGTTTCAGGAAAATCACATCTAACACAAAGTCCAGATTCATGTTTTCCAATCATGTATTCGTGATACTCGCCTTAAAGGGGTCATATGATGCTGCTAAAAAGAACATTATTTTGTGTATTTGGTGTAATGAAATGTGTTTATGCGGTTTAAGGTTCAAAAAACACATTATTTTCCATATACTGTACATTATTGTTTCTCCTCTATGCCCCGCCTTTCTGAAACGCGTCGATTTTTACAAAGCTCATCGGTCTGAAAAAGCGAGGTGTGCTCTGATTGGCCAGCTATCCAGTGCGTTGTGATTGGCCGAATTCCTCAAGCATGTGACGGAAATGTTACGTCCCTTACCATATTGTGATGCCTGAGGCAACCACATGTGACGACCGAGCGGCAACCTCCCGCTCTCTCTGTGAAGCCAACAAGGAAGTGACTTAAACTGTAATTCATCGACTGGCCGCTAGAGGCTGGCTGCAAAAGGGAGTCAATCCCATAGACTCCCCATGTTAAAATGCCCAAATTTACAGCAGAAAAAAAACGTTTACAGCCTGGTTCAAAAAATGATTTTGGTCTATATAGCTAATTTTGCCCTTCATGACAACTGTGAGGGGGGTGAATTTTTTTTTATAACTCATCCATTTAAATTATATTAAGCCTTAAAGTTCTGCATAATTAAGGGCGTGGCCACTTGAGTGACAGGTGGAGCCGCTGCTGTCACCACCGCTGCTGTCATGTTTTTATACAGTCTAAAAGAGAAAGGAAAAATTTAAATCGCATCATATGACCCCTTTAAATTCGTTTGATTGACCTGTCTTTCCACTCGGTATTATTGCAAAGGAAAAGGGAAAAACCGTAATCCACAATTGTGAGTGATCGACTAAGCAGTAATCTAAATGAAATGGCTGATTTCTTTGCGTTATGTCCGCAGGAAGGCCGTTGAGTTGCCAAGGCGACGAGTCAGCGTTCCGATTGACCGGATTGGTGTAGGCCGTCTTCCCAGCAGCCGAGGATAGACTCCGCCTCTGACCACGCCCCGATACACAGGTGCGTAAGATCAACGGTAGTCACATGTTTATTCTCATCTGTTACATACAATGTATTGTAAGATGAAAATATCATGAATATACTGCAAATTGTAATCAAAACCACACATATGTTGTTTGTTCTTTGTTCCACAGAGGGTAATATCGCAGGTAGATGATATGCATGATAAGCACACCAGCCAACACAACTCACTAACCACTGAACGATCTCCGCGTTCTCAACACACTTTTAATCATCGCTGCCCCAGAGCTGTTCTTTCTCACTGAATACTGATTTAGGCCTTCAATATCCATTCAAACTGTTTATTTCCAGTTCTAACTCATTTTATAAATTCAACATCTAAACTGTATTGCTTTCATGAAATGAGTTCCGTTTATGTCAGAAGCATTAGCCAATCAGAGAGGAATCTGCTCATGGCTTCCATTGCACATCACAATATTTACTCCAGTGCCTCACGACTTCTCGCTTGCTGTAAAATACATAACTATTCTCATTTTCTCACTTTGACTGGAGGCTGTTCAGCCTTGACAATAAAACAGATTAATATCTACGATCTGTCAGTCTTATTTGAACTTATTAATGTGAGCCGGTAAAATATTTGCAGAATAAATGAGATTGCAACTTAATTCTGGTGCTGATTAGTGAACATACCTAGGCTATACACTCTTAAAAATAAAGGTGCTTCACGATGCCATATAAGAACCTTTTTGTCTAAATGGTTCCATAAAGAACCTTTAACATCTGAAGAACCTTTCTGTTTCACAAAAGGTTCTTTGTGGCGAAATAAGGTTCTTCAGATTACAAAAACGCAAGAAAGAGATGGTTCTTTAAAGAACCTTTGACTGAATGGTTCTTTGTGGAACCAAAAATGGTTCTTCTATGGCATCGCTTTAAGAACCTTTTGAAGCACCTTTATTTTTAAGAGTGTATATGATTGTTGATAACTGGTTGGCATTGATCCTTTTGGTTACCCTTGTATTTTTTGTGTAGACACAAGTAAATATTTACTTACGGAATAGAAGGGGACAATGATATTGAAAGTGGACTCTTAGTTTGTGGTTAATAAGTTGACAGACAAAGACAAATACTAATAATAAAGCTAACACACAACATTAGATAAATACATCAAACACCAGGTTTCTTAAAACATTTATTTCATTCAAATTACATCAATGCGTGCAAATATAACAAAATGTGTGCATTTCTTATATAAATGTCTAGTGGCTTTTAATAGGAGTGTAACCATTTTTATAAAGTATAGCATTTTAAATTTGTGCTGAGATATTATGTAGGTGTATAAAACTACAAATTTCATCAGTTTTATATGATTTATATCATTATAAAGATGTATAATGTATTTTTTTGCTTATGTACTATATGGTGTCCTTTAAAAATGTGGGGTTGGTAAGAAATGTTAATGTTTTAGAAAGTGCAAAAATACAGTAAAACAGTAATAATACGAAGTATCATTACAACTGAAAATAACTTTTATATTTGAATATATTTTAAAATGTAATTTATTCCAGTGATGGAGAAGATGAATTTACAGCTCCAGTTCCAATCTAAAGTATCACATGATCCTCCAAAAATCATTCTAATATGCTGATTTTGATGCTCAAGAAACATTTATCAGTCTTGAAAATGGTTGTGCTGCTTACTATTTTTATGGAAACAGTGATCTTTTTTTCAGGATTTGACGAATATAAAGTAAAAAAAAAAAAGTAATTTATTGGAAGTAGAAATCTTTTGTAACATTATAAATGTCTTTACTGTCTCTTTTGATCAGTTTAATGTGTCCTTGCTGAATAGAAGTATTAATTAATTTTAAAAATCTTAAAACTCTTACGGACCCCAAACTTTTGAACAGTAGTGTAATATACATGCTGTCTTGATAGGCCAAAGTCCCTAACCAGTACTGAAGGTTAATTCAATTTTAGGACAGTATAATAACAAAAACGTATGAAGGATCCATGCACAGGGCCAAATATGAGGTGAGTACAATGCTATTTTCTGGATGAGTATGGTTCCTTAAAGTTGACTCAAGCGGTCGGCGCAAGTTCATATAATCTGTACTACCAATAAATTCACAAAGTGCTGGCATAAGATTTTTAATTTTGAAAAACAGCCAAATTAATTTTAAAAAGTCCATAATAAAGGAATTAATCTCACCAAATAATAGAATTAACACTTCTGGGTGTAACTCTTGCCTCACATTAAGTTAGTTTGTGGAAAATTATAAGAATGACAAAAATAAAAAAAAAATAAGAATAGACTTCCAGCTCCACTGCACTTTTCCGACTTCCTCACTACCAGCGGTCCACATCCATGTGCCTGTGTAGCCAGTGGACGTAGTTTGTCACCCGAGTGTACACCCCATACACCCTCTGACTGCCACACTCCTCTGGCCCGCCCCAGGACACCAGTCCTTGTGCCACCCATCTGCGACTGCGGGTGTCCTGGGTGACAAACGCTCCCCCACTGTCCCCCAAACAGGTGTCCTGACCGCCTTCGTAGAAGCCAGCGCAAAACATATTGCTGGTGATGTTGTAGTTGATGGAGCGTGATGCATAACTGGCTTCACATTCGTCCTGCGGCACAACCGGGAGCTTCACATACTGGAGCAGCTCGGAAACGGTGCTGGAATCGGAGGTCAAGCCACTGGAGGAGGCAGAAGCATTGGCCGTGTTAATGCCCCAACCGGCCACTATACCCAATGTGTTGGGCAGAGGCATCAGGGCATGACCTTCTACACCAGGCCTTGGTAGACAGACGGGCCGTATTAACGCAGACAACACCACCTCCTGGCTGAGTTTAACCAGAGCAATGTCGTTGTTGTAGTTTTGAGGATCAAAATGAGGATGGAGGATGACTTTTGCTACGGACCGGTTGGTGGCCAAGTGCTTATCCCGTACATCCGTGAGGCCCAAGTGCACACAGATGTGTTCAGAAGCAACAGGTACAACGGAAAGATCACGGCGGTGAGATCTGAGCACATGAGCAGCTGTGAGAACCCAGGTTGAGGAGAGGAGAGCGCCGCTGCCAAACCAGCGGTCCTCAGGGACACGGGACACGTCCTCTACCGAGAGCAGAACCTGCCAGGGGAACAGACCTGGAAATGCTGTTCTCCCACCAACGATTCGCTTCTGCTGGGCTGGAAAGAACTGTGACTGCTCACCACATGCTGAAACAAAAACATGTGCAAGTTAACATAGATATGAGTAGGAATCTTAGAAACAAATACAAGTACCTTAACACAAACAGAGACACCCAGGGTAAAAAAAAAAGATAAGGCTGCTAAAATTAAACATTTTATTAGACATATTGCTTTTTTTAGTTGACAGATTATGGAATCACTGGATAAAAATAGTTGTTTTGTACTTTGATGAAGGGAAAGTTTAGTATATAGATATATAAATCATATACTAAATAACACACTTATATATATATATAACACAATATATATACCAGGAAGTTTTTTCAGTTGTATTTAATATGAATTGGTTTGCCAAAAAGAAAAAGTCAATAAACAGTGTTAGAAAATAATAATAATATTTTGGGGTCTGTAAGATTTCTTTTTGAAAGTAGTCTCAAGGCTGCATTCATTTGATAAAAAAAAAAAAAAACAGCAATACTGTGAAATATTATAATTTCAAATAATTGTATTTTTATATATGTATTTATTCTTGTATGTATTATAAGTTTAAGTTTTATTTTTGACATGGCAAAGCTGAATATTCAGCAGTCAGTGTCACGTGATTATTCAGAAACCATTCTAACATCAATGTTGAAAACAGTTGTGCTGATTAATATTTTTGGGTAAACTGATCATTTTTTTCAGAATTCTTTGAGGAAAAAATATTCAAAAGAACAGAATTTATTTGAAAAAAAATTTTTTTGTAAGCAAGTATTTAGTGCTGTATCAATGTAGTGTGTTATTGCTAAACAAAAGTATTAATTTCTTTTAAAAAGTCTTATTGACCCCAAACTTTTAAAAAGTAGTGTATAGTTTATTATATATTTAATATGAATAATATATAATATGATGTAATATATATATATATATATATATATATATAATGTAAAACAATGTTGTGAATTTGTATCTTTAGTTGTCAAATAAACAATTAGTATGTAAACAGAATGTTGTCTCATGAACCTAATGTATAACAGTCAAGTCTCAGTCAAGGTCCATTGAGGGAGTCAGTTATGAACTGCGTAATGATTTTGAATGATTCAAAACGCCAAGATGTATTTTTTTTTTTTTTTTTTAGTCACAGTCTGATGTCCTGCAAAACATTTCCAAAGCTTTACATTCTAAGTTTGAATCTTACCAAGAGGAGTGCTTGCTAGTGGAGTAGGAAGTTGAGATTCGGGATTGGTACTCAAGGTTCTTTCAAAATCTCCTATAGTAAACACATAAACAACAGTGGCAGATACTGTAGTCATGTAGGTTAGTACCATGCCAAAACTATGAACAAGAAGTCCTGTTTATAATAAAGCAATTAAACAAAACAGAATAGGCATTAATTAATGCATACCTGCTAGACAGGTGGGCAGTGGCGTCCCATCCTCACTCATCCATTCCCCACTCTGATGACAGGTGTAAGTGTCTGTAAATCCAGTCAGAGTCAAATCCACAGTGACATCTATTATTATAACTTGACTTTAATGCATCAGTGACTGACTGTGAAATACTCACTGTTGACCTGGCGAGAGTCTCTGCAGCTGTACTGGATTCTTGATCCAAACACAGTACTGTTTCCAGAGCTCTCAAAAACCACCTCACCCAGAACTACATTCACTGGACCACAGTCAACCACTAAAAGAGATCATGAGAAAGATGTTGAGTTAGAGAGCTATAGGATTTATTTTTGGATTGTTTGGATGACGATTTTGGTTTGATTCATATTTTGATTTCATTCTTTTCTTTAGGTCTTAGATGTTTTTTTTTTCTTTTTAAAATTGAATAAAGAGATTCTTTAAAAATATTCAAAAGTATAAAAATGTTATTTTATATAAATGTAACAAAAAAGTACAGTTTTGACAGAATACAATCATGGCACTATTTGTTTAATTAATTAGATGGGAGGATTTATTTGAAGAGGATGAGATGAAAACTGTATGATTCACAGGAATTCTCAAATGTGATTGGTGGAATTTACAGTAGTACATGCCATGCATATTATGAAAGTATTGTTGATGGAAGGGATGAACCACTTGAACTATTTAAATAGTGAAGATCACAATCATACCAAACAGTAAGTGTCCACTCTTCAACATGTGTTGTCCGTTCCCAACAGGTGAGGCAGTTTTGTAGTCTATGTCCTGTCTGAAAGTCTAAGTGCATTTATGTATATGTATTTCTGTCTCAAAATGAACCAAATAGTGACAAGACTGTGCACTACTGACTAAGGGATGTATAAATATATATTCAAAAAGTATCTGACAAAAGATCATGTTCACATCCATACATGTACATGCTCACTGGTTTGTTTTATCTCAGAGGCCCTATTTATGA